AAATGGGTTGTTTTTTTTAATGTACTATATAGAGCAAAACCATTTAATGGAGTTATCTAATATACATATAAGAAAAATTCCTTTTGGCCTCCAAATGTTATGTCTAAATATGAAACACAAAACTTCAGTATGGAGTAAGATATTTAAAAAACAAGTTGTAAAGTGGTTTTTTTGGGATCATCCTGTACATAGTCAGCAAAAAAAAACAAGTAATGGATGACAGTAGTACCCCGTAGTAGCTGAATTCATGTTCATATTGCCATGACCATTTAAATTACAGGAAAACTCAGCTATTGAAAAAGTAAAAAGTTCTGGGCTCAGGATACTCCCTGTTTTAGCCAATAAGCCAGTAAAAAAAAATCGGACATTTCACCGTACACCTGACTGCCGCCAATGCAGTAGAGTAGGCCTACAGAATGCAGTCTTTCCTGATATTCCGTTTCTCTCTGAGGTTTTGAAGAGAGAGAGAGAGAGAGAGAGAGAGAGAGAGAGAGAGAGAGAGAGAGAGAGAGAGAGAGAGAGAGAGAGAGAGAGAGAGAGAGAGAAATGACAAAACAACTACCACCAACCTCCAGAAAGTTGCAGTAACTCACTCTCCTTTCTAAACGTTTCTCCTTTCTCTTTTTTTCTTATTCTCCTTCTCTCCAGGCACATTTCTTGAAAAGTTCTAAAATAAAAGGAAACCTAAGAGCCAACTCCACCCCCACTTCTTAAACCCCACACCTCCTTTTCAATGTTGAAACGAGATTTTTTTTTTAACAAACAAGTTTGCTTTTTTATTGCTTGAGCACACATGACCTCATTTTGCTTGTTTATAGCTTGTGCACACATGACCTCATTTTACTTGTTTATAGCGTGTGCACACATGGCCTCGATCTCATTTTACCTGTTTATAGCTTGTACACACGTGGCCTCATTTTACTTGTTTATAGAGTGTGCACACGTGGCCTCATTTTACTTGTTTATAACGTGTGTACACATGGCCTCATTTTAATTGTTTAATAGTGTAGAAACACATACATACACTTGCAAACACATACAGGCACATATATACACGTACTTCAACTGGAATACATGCACGTTTTTTACATATACACATATGTACACATGTATAATATAAAGATACACGCACATATAAACAGATCCAAACGCATGCACACGCATTCGTACGAAATATATGCACAAATACATATTATGTGCACACATACACACATATTTACACATGCACATACGCACACAAAACCGGTTTCTGTGGAAGTAGAGGTTAGGCACTTCATTGTCGCATGCAGGAGACCAAATTCATTCCCGAGGGGGAAGAATTTTTTTATCGAGTATCTCGGTCTTTCTGCTAGGATATGTTGTTCACCAATATATTATTTATTTATTTATGTATTTATTTTATTTTTTTATTCATTTATTTTTACTTTATTTATTCATTTATTTATTATATTTAATACTATTATCATTTGTTTGTTTGTGTAAAGTGTTTTACGGCGCTCGCAACTGCATAGGTCATATGAGCGCGGGGGACACACCTAATATTTTCAGTTGGTAGGAAATTTTGAATTTTGCCCGGATGGCGGCCGAAGCCTACTCTTATCGATTTTAGACCACCAAGGGATCTTTAACGTGCACAACTTGCACACAGGCCCTCCGAGATTTTTCGCCCTTGTCCGAGAAGGCTAGGTGTAGATCTTTCCTACCAGAAGATCAGGGGTGTGGCAGAAAGACAGCAGTAAGGAGGAGCCAAGGAGTAGCAGTAGCAGTAGAAAGGCTGCAGAAAGAGTCAGGAGCCCAGAGGAGGGGGCAAAGGAGGTGAGGGGGTGGAGGCAGAAAGTGGAAATGAACATTGCTAGAGAGCAGGAAAGGAAGTGAAAGGAGACAATTTTAGAGAAGAAAAGTTTTCGGTCGCTACCCGGATTCGAACCCGGGACCTTTATGTATGTATGTATGTAGTATAGGGTTTTACGGCGCTCGCAACTGCTAAGGTCATATGAGCGCGCGAAACACAAGTTGTTTACTTTCGCAAAAGTTCACTCCACGATTGGTCAACTAATTGACTTTAAAATGCTAAAATGTTAAAATATTAAAATTTAGTGTAAATATATTTGTGATTTAAAATAACTCTTATAGGTAACGATAAAAAATTTTAATAGTACGTTTTCATTTTTCATTTTACAACTTGCCATAAAGGCCAATGGCCTTTATAAAATTCAAAATTCTGCTGGGAACAACGACGGAAAAAATATCTTGCAATTTCTTGCATTTATAATACTTCCTTCGGATCTCTCCAAAGTCCAGACATTCTGTTAAGATGTGTCTAATGGTAAAGTCTGTGTCGCATCCGACACAGAACGGCTTCTCGTCTCCCTGTAAGAGGTATTTGTGGGTCAGGGCCGTGTGTCCGATGCGCAATCGAGTAAAAATGACTTCGTCTCTTCTGGAGAGGTCCGAAGGATTTCGCTGATCTAGTTTGGGTTTAATTTCAAATAATTTATTATTTTTCTGCTTTTCCCAGTGACTCTCCCACAGACTGGAAGTGTACTTTTTGACTTTATTTCTAAAGTCAATCTGTGGGAGAGTGTTTGTCGTTGATCCCAGCAGAAGGGATGAAGCTTTCTTCGCCAGTTCGTCCACCTGCTCGTTTCCTCGGATGCCCACATGGCTGGGTATCCATGCGAACATGATGTTTTTTCCTGTTTCGGATAGTGTATGAATTTTCTGTTGTAGCCTAACTATTTTTGGGTGTAAGAGTGTGTAGTTTGTGAGTGAGGTGATGCAAGACAGAGAGTCAGAGAGGATAAGGAAAGATTTGTTAGGAGAATTTTCTACAGAGTCCAGTGCCATGTCAATGGCAGTGGCCTCCGCAGTAAAAATGGAGGCTTCAGGATGGAGTCTCCTCTGATGTGTATTGTTGGAAGATAGGGCTGCGGCGCCCACTTCATTGTCTTTTTGGAGCCATCCGTGAAGATGAGTTCCGCACCGGGGTATTTATCTATTAGTTTTTTTGTTTTCTGTTTTAAAAGTTTTGGTGTTTGTGCTTTCTTTGTTGTGCGTGGTCAGCTGTAAGTCTACTTTTGCCTTGGTGAGATGCCACGGAGGGAGGTCGGGGAAAAGAATTTGTTGGATGTCTTGTTTGGAAAAGTTTAAGTTTTTGAGGTCCTCAAGGATACTGAGGCCGAAGGGTTTGATGAGTTTTTCGTTGTTTTGGAATTTGTTTATGGTTTCTGAGTTTGTTTCGAAAATGCTGTTGTGCGCTGGATTTTCCGGTGTTGAGCTCTGTTTTACCTCGTATTGTAGTGAGAGTTGTGTGCGTCTGAGTGAGAGTGGTGGTATGTTGGCCTCGGCCTGGAGGCTCTCCACCGGAGAAGTGCGGAAAGCCCCCAGAGCGAGGCAGAGTCCTTGGTTCTGTATGGGATCTAGTATTTTTAAGACGTGTGGTTTTGCCGATCCGTAGACTTGACAGCCGTAGTCAAGCCTGGACCGGACAAGGGAGATGTACAGGTGGAGAAGGTGTTTTGAGTCCCCGCCCCACTCCGGATTCGATAGAATTTTCAAAGCATTTAACGCTTTCTGGCACCTCACACGAAGGTCTTTGATGTGTGGTATGAATGTGAGTTTTTTGTCGAAAATGACGCCGAGGAAACGAGCTTGGTCCTGGACGGGAATCCTTTCCCCGTATAGTGTCAAATCCGGCTGCAGCACACGTCTGCCTGTTCGGCAGAAGTGTACTGCAACCGTCTTTGACGGGGAGAACTTGAAACCGTTGTTGTTTGCCCACGTTTCAAGTTTGTGCAGCTGCGTTTGCAGCTGCCTTTCCATAGATCTCAAATGAGGATTTTTCGATCGGCAGCATATCAAGAAGTCGTCAACGTATAACGAGCTGTCAATGCTGTTTTGGAGGGTTTTCACTATGGACCTTTGAATGAGAGGCGAACACCTTAACCTCTAGGCCACGAGAGCCCCCTATTATCATTGTCATTACCTTTATTATTATATTTATTTATTATTATTATTAATATTATTATCATTATTATTATCATTATCATTATCATTATCATTATCATTACTATTATTATTATTATTACTATTATCATCATCATTATTATTATTATTATTATCATTATTATTATTATAATAAGAGTGAGAGAGAGGAGAGAGAGAGGGAGAGAGAGAGAGAGAGAGAGAGAGAGAGAGAGAGAGAGAGAGAGAGAGAGAAAGAGGGGGGAAGAAGAGAGAGAGTATGAGAGAGAGGTAATGAGAGAGAGGGGGGAGATAAAGGTGGGAATACAAAGACGCTGTTTTGGATTTTTTAAGGACTAATCAAACATAGATGATCGATTAACGAAAAAGGGAGATAGACAAAGAGAAAAATCGGGAGAGAAAGAGGGAAGAGTGAATGAGAGAGAAAGAGAGAGAGAGAGAGAGAGAGAGAGAGAGAGAGAGAGAGAGAAAGAGAGACAGACAGACAGACAGACAGACAGACAGACAGACAGACAGACAGACAGACAGAGAGAGACAGAGAGAGACAGAGATTAGTTTTAGTAAGATTTTTACGTCACTTGCAACATAATAAGGACATATAAGTGCCGATGATTAGGAATGATACAAGAGCAGCAATTACAAAAAAAGATAAAAGAAACAAAAGGATGGTAGATGTTTGATAGAAGAGGAACAAGCCAGACCAGAGCACCTGCTAACCACCCGCAGGGAGAGAGACACAGAGAGAAACAGAGAGAGAGAGGGGGGAGAGAAAGAGAGAGAGAGTGAGAGAGAGAGCCAAGAGAGAGACAGAGAGAGAGACAGAGAGAGAGACAGAGAGACAGACGCAGACAGAGACAGACAGAGAAAACGTAAGAGAGAGAGAGAGAGACAGAGACAGAGACAGACAGACAGACAGACAGACAGACAGACAGACAGACAGACAGACAGACAGACTGACTGACTGACAGAGACAGACTGACAGAGAGACAGAAAGAGACAGAAAATGGCGGCCTTACCCTGGTAAGCAGCCCCCGCCATTCCGAGCTGGTCCAGTTGGTTCATCTGGTTGAGAGTTGCCCCCAGCTGAGCCCTGCCGCCCTGTGCCTGTCCGTTCCCGAGAGCCATCTGCCCGTTAGTGAGCGCCAACTGACCGCCGGTGTAATCCAGTTGAGTGGAGCCTAGCTGGTTGCCGGCCAGTTGACCTCCCGTAAGTTGACCCGTCTGTTTCGACCCCATCAGGATGTTGTTGCTGCCAATCTGGGAACCCCCCAAAGCGCCATTTTGGCCGGAAAACCCCATCTGGGTTGAGTCCAGACCAAGCTGACCTCCGCCTAGAGAGTTCATCCCCATTTGCGTTGTTCCCAGACCGACTTGGGTAGAGGTTAAGCCATTTACAGACAGTTGTGACGCGTCAAGACCCGTGAGTTGGTTCCCGCCGACACCGCTCATACCCACGAGTTGTGAATTGCCCAGTCCAGCTTGATTTGATGTTAGACCGTTCATTGAGTTTCCTAAGCCATTTACAGAGGTGCCTAAGCCGTTTACAGAAGTGCCTAAGCCGTTTACAGAGGTTCCCAAGCCGTTTACAGAAGTTGATAAACCATTAACAGAAGTACCTAGACCGTTTACAGAAGTACCTAAGCCGTTTACAGAATTACCTAAGCCGTTTACAGAAGTACCTAAGCCGTTTACAGAGGTCCCAAAGCCGTTTACACCCAGCTGTGATGTGTCTATGCCGCCTAGCTGGCTTCCACCTAAGTTGTTGAGGCTCAGCTGTCCGTTGTTCGATGTCAGCTGATTCTGGGACAGCTGGTTCACCCCCAGAGAGATGCCATTGTTGGTCATCCCGAGCTGACCGCCCAGGCCAGAACCGAAGTTGTCAGTATTCCCAAGGCCAATCTGGAGATTATTCTGACCAACGGTCATCGGGACCTGCGTGGCTTCAAGGGTCAGCTGATTCCCGCCCAGCATCTGGTTGTCGTATTGCCGGATATCCAAGGGCTGGTTCGCGGCGTTCATGTCTAGCATGCCGATATTCCGGGAGCTGGCGGCCGACAGAAACTGACCAGTTTGTTGGTCCAGAAATCCTAACTGTTGAGAAGGCATGTTGGCGGCGGTCGACATAAACTGATCCTGCAGCTGTACCGGAGTGTTGAACAGCCCGCCTCCTAGATCTAAACCAGAGCCCGTACTGTCCACAAAGGCCAGCTGATCTAGACCACCCCCTCCCCCGGCACCCGGCGTGTCGTACAGACTAGCGATGGGATCGATTAGAGCCCGGCCCCCTAGACCAATGTCAAGGCCGAAGTTGTTGTTGCGTCTGTTGGCGCCTCTGCTGACGGACTCGAACCCGGGTATCGTGAAGGGACGGCTGGGCGGCCGCTTGGGCTCAGAGTTGTACCGCGGGGCCGGGTATCGGCTGCCGAACAGACGGGAGCGGGGGCGGTCTGCGGGTCGAACGGAAGGAGGGAAGAGAGAAAAAGAATGCATTGTGTTACTTTATTCCTCTTTGAAGGAAACTGTTCTCTCTCTCTCTCTCTCTCTCTCTCTCTCTCTCTCTCTCTCTCTCTCTCTCTCTCTCTCTCTCTCTCTCTCTCTCTCTCTCTCTTTCTCTCTCTCTGTCTGTCTGTCTGTCTGTCTGTCTGTCTGTCTGTCTCTCTCTCTCTCTCTCTCTCTCTATATATATATATATATATATATATATATATATATATATATATATATATATATATATATAGCGTGCATTAAGACACCCTGGCGATAACAACGGATTGGATTAGCAATGCAGAGTTTTTGCAGAAAATACGTAAAATATTGTAAAAGTCGCCCAAATAATAACTAATGATAAAAATACAATTTGTGATCAGTCATAAATAATAACAGGTGCGGGGTTTTATTTTCAGAAACTAATCTTGCTGTGATCTAATATGCAAATCACTACCGCGCAATTGGTTACACACATAGTCTGATACATAGAAGTTCGGGGTTCGAATCTCAGGTGGGTCCTGCATAGTCTATATTTCTTTGTTGTTGTCCTTTGTGGTGAAAAAAAAATCATCTCACTCGGAGGTCTTGAATGTTGTCCAAGGGCTTGGCCTTTCAAATAACCTAAAATGTGCGTTGCGTGCATGAAACGACATACAGCGATACACGGTGTTATGCAGAGACACACCGCGACACACTGTGACACGTAGTGAGGCATAGTGACACAAAGTGACACAAAGTCACTCACAGTGACACACAGTGACACAAAGTGACACATAGTGAGGCATAGTGACGGTCAGTGACACACAGTCACACGTAGTGACACACAACTACGCACAATGATACTCAACCAACAAGGTGAGATTGATCTTGGGAAACAGTAAGGAAATGGTAGGGATTGAGAGATAGACGCGACAAGAGATACATTTTTAAAACAATTTCAATTCACTCACCACAAAACTAAGTTAAGTAATTTTCAAGGAGGAGAGGGGGAGGGAATGGGCTTGACAAAATGATCACAGCAAAGAAGCAAAAAACAGGAATCTAAGATACTTCCGAAACTTTCGTCAAGGAAATACCCCATAGTTAAATATTCCCCATCGACGCAAATTGCCTCATTAATTTAAGAGGCAGGCTCTCTGCCATAGAAGCCAACCTGGGCTAACAGGGATGCGACATCCCAGAAGAAAGACCGAGCTACTCGATTTTTTTTTTATTTCACCTTTCTCGGGAATCGAACTCGGGAATCGAACTCGGGTCTCCTGCATGTAACAGCAAAGCGCCTAACCCCTACACCTTAGACGCCGATCCCTCAGGATGTGCGTAAAAAAAAAGTTGCGATACATTGTTTGGCACTCAATATTATGACACAGAACGTGTAATCACGAAGTAGAAATGATTAGTAGTTTGTAACCGTGTCACTTACTTCTCCGGCCAAAGAACGGGAAAGCGGATGTGACTGCGAGGAATAGAACTGCGAAACAGAGAAGTTTCATTGTCTTTGTGCTGTCCATCATGGTGTTTGGGTGTGCTTCGAGTTCTTCTCTCTGAGGACAAATAATTCAGGAAGAAAAGAAAATTAAGTATTCAAATTTAAGTACAAAATATTTGAAATAACGCCTCCTACCTCCTTTATCAAAGAGGGACCCACGAATAAAGAGGGTGGTTGGGGGGGGGAGGGGGGACAAAGGAAGTGCCCTGTATTTGAGAGAGTACATTGTAGACGGCAAAGCGTTGAACAAATATACTTCAATAACTGACAACATTAGAACAATGACCCATGGGTTACTCGTTGCAATACTTTTTGTCTTCTTTCTGTAATCTGTGTAGTGCAACTTTCGCTTCTGACTACAGATCTTCACTTCTTTTTTTAAACTTTTGCAACTTCCTGCCCGTCTGAAACCGTTCAACGTCCTTTGGTAACAGGGCTGTGTCACTACCAGAAAGCTTGTAAGTAAGTCAGTTTATTCAAAGTTTAAGTTTAAGGTCATTGGCCCACATCCCATTGCATAAAACTCTCATTTGTTAAATAAACTTTCCAAAATGAAAAAGTATAGGTGTTGCGCATTTATATATATATATATATATATATATATATATATATATATATATATATATATATATATATATATATATATATATATACACACACACACACACACACACACAGAGTGATTCCAAAAAAAACTTTACAACTAGATTTGTAAATATCTTCCTCCATACTGAAGTTTTACGTTTCAGATTTGAACATAACGCTTGGAAGCCAAAAGGAATTTTTCTGATATGTATTTTAGATAAGTTCATTTTATGGTTTTGCTCTATATAGTGCATTAAAAAAACAACCCATTTTCAACCCTGTCGCCATTTCCATAGCATGACGCACCAGTTCACATTAGGCCTACCACTAAAAGTTGCAACGATCGCGTCATATTGCAAGGTACAGCAGTCTAACAAGTCAACAGAAGTCTGCAGATATCACTTTTCCCAAATTTTGTTATCCTGCTGAGATCATGGCTACGTTTAGTAAAGAGCAGAGAGCTTTTTGTATTGAACATTGCCTCTCCACATTTCGTAAGTTCTGCGCACGCATTGGGAGAATGCTTAAGTGCCCTCAAGACCTTTGGCATCATGAGAAGAGAAGTTCCGTCAGTTTGGGTCTATAGCGAATCAGAACTAAAAAGTTCTTTAAAAAATGACCACTTCAAGTCGAACACGCACCATGCGCAGCCCTTTAAACGTCACAAGAGTGCAGATTTCAGTAGCCGAGTCCCATGAGACGTCTGTCCGTAGACGATCTGCAGCTAGGACTTTCCTACACATCAACAGTCTGCATTCTCATGGCAGATCTTAACCTACGACTTTACCATGTTCATCACCGCTAGGCCGAGATGACGTGGATCAGAGCATGGCAATATGTTCATGATTCCTTGATTGTCTTGTAAAGAGGGATCATTTCCTAGATGGCATTTGGTTTAGTGCAAAGCCCATTTTCATCCTTAGGGATATGTTAACTCCAAAAATGCTGTCTATTGGGCACCCCACTCTATTGTCTCTAGAAGCCACTTCTTAGTGAACATGTACAGTGTATGTGGCTTTAAAAACTCGTGGTTTAGCAGCTCCTTGTGTTAGGGCGCCACTGAACATTTCAAACGACGCGTTAAAAATGTGTCGAGTCCAATGGAGGGAATGTGGAGCACTGCTTCTAGGAATTTCAGAATGAAATCATTAGGTTTTAAAACTCAGTAAAAGAAATTAAATATTGTTTAATTATCACAGGGATGGAAAATTAAAGTCAAAGAGAAAATAAAGGAAAAGGTCAACTAATCTTTTCACGACTTCCTTTACAAGATTTTGAAACATTGGTGAACTTTGCGTTTTTGGGGTGCTTTTTTTCTTTTAGCCGTTTCCGTTTTCAAAACATGTTTCTTCTTTGTGGATTTTATATCAAACAAATTCCTTTTGAATGAATTATGTCTGTTCCAAATTACAGCATTCTAGAACAAATTTTGACCGAAATATTCGGAAAACAAGTTGCAAAGGTTTTTTTTGGATCACCCTGTATATATCATGGGTCACACACAGCATGTTTCTGTCTCTGGGCCGCTGGCTAGGAGGAATTAACAATTTCCTGTGATGGTCTTTGGTACCAAAAAGCTTGAATACTATGAGAAAAAAATTTTATCTTGAGGGTTTTTTTCTTTGATTCAAACCTAGCTCCTCCAGATGACAGGAAAACAAATATTCTTTCTTTTTTTTCAGGGGAGGGGGGGGGGGGCTACACCTGAAGGTTATCTCGCTTATTACAGGACCGAATTTTACCAAATTTCACACATGTAACAAGCATAGTAAGGAGTCTTGAAATCCGCAATCAAATTGAGAAAAAGGTTTCGTTTCCATGGATACTGCGGCCATATTGGATTTGTTGACATGTCTTACGTAATAAATACCGCACTTATCGCTCATGGAAATTGATTGTTTTGAGCATGCGTGTTCACTAACATCAGATCTAAAAATTTGTCTGTTGCTTTTTTTCCTAGACGAATTACTATTAGAAATTATTTTATTAATTTTTTCCTGAGGTAGCATTCAAGTTTGCTAAAAATCTGTGAAAATCCACTCTCCAGACACCACCAACAAAAATCTATTTCATATATCAAAATTTCAACTGACGAATTTTCAGTATTACCTCTTCTCTTCATTCTGTGAAAATTTCATGAAGATTGGAGGAAAAATGGTCGAGTTATTCAAAAAAGTATAGAGAAAAGTCTCGTTTTGAGAAAACAGCCGATAAAGAAAAATAAAATACTGTCTTTATAAGGAAATGGCGGTCACAAATATGCCCGGTATGGGACAAAAATCGGTTTTGGGGGGTTCTTATGCGATGAAATAGTTGTAAGAGAGGCTGAGGAAGCTAAAAATGCCTACAACTCAAATTCCATAATTTTGAACCGAATTTTGACTTTGGGAGTGTAGCCCCTCCCCCCCCCCCCCCCCTTAAGATTAACGGCGTTCATATTGCTTCTCACACACAAGTCTGGCAATAAGTAAGCTTAGTTTAAAATAAGTAAATAAAGTAAAAAGTAAATAAATAAATAAATAAATAAATAAATAAATAAATAAATAAATAAATAAATAAATAAAAAATATCTCACTTAAAAAAAAAAAAATTTCAAAAGAAACAATGCTTAGGAAAACAGAACACTATAGGCAATACTGCTAATTTCAAAGTCAAAATAACAATAATTTGTCCGAATTTCAAACACTTTTAACAATCCAATGACGTCACAGACTAGGTGATAAGCCATTCTTGTCTTCCAGGCCTGTGTCGTCACGGGCAATTTATAAAACCCACCAAGCTTCGGCTTGTATTTCGGTTCTTTATAATATAGTAAATATTCTTCTTTTTATGCCAAGCTGCTAACTGTTTAAGAATCTTCTCTTTGTCTAAAGATAAACTTTTGTGCGTGTACTTTAGCTGACCTCCGAGTCGTTTTTTAACACAATAATTATTGTCTTCCTCACGTTTGAATAGAAGTTTTCCCTATCTCTGCAAAGTCTAACAACAGTACCACAGACGCCAGCAAACTAAAGACTTATGTTGACAGCTACAAAGTGGATTTCACGAATTGATCTTTTGTTTGTAATTTTAATTATAAATTATGTTTTACGCCCACATGAACACAATTCAGATAATTTAGGACATAGACGGCTTTGACGTTGTTTGTCAGTGCCAACCCGGGCTCAGAGGGATGCAAGGTCCCAGAAGACAGGCGGAGTTACAAGATTTTTTTCAAAACTAACAAAACTCGGGAGAGAACTCGCGTCTACTGCATGTCTAGGAAAGGAGTCAAACCGCTCCACCATAGATGCTGTGTCGGAAAGATGAGAATGACAACAACTTTTCTTTCTGGTACTTCGACCAAACTACAAGATGTGTAGGGATAAGGACATGATGATGCTTGAAAGTAAGAGTTGGAAAAACGTGCTGCAAAACAACACACGGATAAAGTAGAGGTTCAAAATTTTAAGTATAAAAATATAAAAACATGTACTATAATATAAACGAGTCTAAAGTGAAAGGGAGAGAAGACAAGGCGTGGTAAAAATTACAAACCCATAGTTTTAATGTATACCAGCAGAGATATAATTGTTAAACAGCAGAGCCTTAAAACGTACATTTCTTATCTTGTTATTTAGTTATCTTGTTACACTTTTTTAATTCAATTATTATGTTGTCTAGTTGTCTAGTTTTCTCTTTATCTTGTTGTTATATAGTTATCTAGTTATCTTGTTATTTTGTTATCTGGTTATTTTGTTATCTTTTCGTCTATATATCTTGATGTTATCTCCTTATCTTACTATTGTAATCTAGTTTTCTTGTTGTCATCTTGTTATCTTATTGTTATTTTTATGTTGTCGTGGTATCTTGTTATCTAAATATTTTGTTATCTGATTATCTTGTTAATCTTGTTGTCTAGTTATCTAGTCATCTTGTTATTTCGTTATAGCATTATTTAATTATCTTTGTATCTTGTAATCTAGTTGTATTGTTATCTTGTTATTTAGTCGACTTGTTATCTTGAGATTTTTTATACCATTATCTAGTTATATTGTTATCTACCTATCTTTTATCCCGTTATCTAGTCATATTGTTATCTAGTTATCTATCTATATTTTTTTTTATCTCGTCGTCTAGTTTCATTGATATCTAGCTATTTAATCATCTTTTAATCTCGTTGTTTTATGATCACATCACCACTTATCTGTGTAAAAAAGGATGCTGCAGAAATTGGAAACAGGGCAACAACACACTGGTCATCTAGTAAGCTAGGTATCTTATCCCCACTTACCTTTTGTTGGTTTGTTTGTTTGTTTGAGTAGTGTTTTAAAAGCACTACCAACTCAGTTTTGGTCCTCACCACTCACCTGTGTTTAAAAAAAGAAAGTTGTAGAAAGCAGACACAGAGGGTGGACAGTGCAGTTCTGTGTGGACACCTGGCCGTCTCCGTGGTCACTCTGCGGGTCGGGCACGCGCGACACACACACAGGCTGGCTCGTCTGACCGGTCAGGTGACAAGTAGTGACCAGCTCGGGGACCTCTCTTATACCGTCACACGCTGGACGGTACCGTCAGCGGCCGCAGTAACGTCATCACGGCGTCATAGTTTGCTAGTCAGGGAGTGTGTATGTTTGGTGGGGGAAAAAAAGGGGGGGGGGGGGGGCATGTGCAGCGTCTATAAAGGGAAAGACGTTTTTTCGTAACTTTTTTGAGGAATAGAAAAAAACGAAAAAAGAGTACCAAGGGAAAAGGAGGTGCTCAGAGCGAAGAGGCAGGCAAAAGGAGAAATAAACCTGCTATAGACAGACAGAGTAGACGTGTGGAGGCAAAAACAGAAAATGATAGATAAAATAACAAATCAACATAACGGAAAAAAGACACGAGCAATTATACAGAAGAGAAAAAATGAACAAAATGAAAAGAAGACTTGCTAGTGGTGCAGATATGTCCCAGAAAAAGAGTTTCCCTGTTCGGTAACATTCGACAATGTTTATTTTATAGACCAAAAGCTTTTTACACACCTGCAAAAACATATTTTCGTTCCATTTAACATAAGAACCGCTGAGCTCAGTGCACTTTTTTGTCCGATGTAACCAGTAGTCAAACGTAACATGTTCATCTAGGCCAGTCCTAAACGCAGCTTGCTTCAAGCACAATTGTTTTCCTCGTCTTCACTTTGTTGCTCCATTAACATTGGTCCTTCGATTTAAGGGAAGAAATTATGTAAGTCAGCAAAATAACTGCGTACGAGAGGAAATGTCTCCGCAAAACCCTTAACGTCATAAGAAGAGATAGGTAGAGAAATGAAGAAGTAACAGCGACTATTGGCACTTAGTCCTGCATGTATTCCATAGAAAAAACAGAATAAAATGGTTTGGCCACCTGTTACGAATGTCATCTAGCCAGCCAGCCTTGAGAACCTATAGCACCAAGTACTCAGGCTATAAAAGATGAGGTAGAACGTGTAAAAGATGGATTGAGTGAGTCAGGAAACCCTGAGAGATTATGATATCCAAATTGAAAGAGCTGCAGAGATGTCCTACCATAGAAAATTTCATCTCCCCTCGACGCTTAACTGCAAAAGAGGATAAAAAAGTAAAAGTAAAGTATTAAAGTAAGTGATTATGTAAGTCACATGGTGCTAAGTATGGTTAATAAAGGGGATACTCAAGGATTTCACACTGCCAGGAGTCCGGAATAATATTGGGGACCTTTCAAACAGTGTACACAGGTGTGTTGTCATGATGAAAGACAACACCTTGCTCAATTTCTGATTATTTCCTGTGTTGACTATACGTGAGGGATTAGCTGTGTTGTCTTACTTGTTGGAAGGACTCTGCTGTTCGTGGATGTGGGAGGACAGTACGACACTTAAAGGACCACCCCATCCAGGCCTCAATTGGCTGATACATTTCTTTCTGATATTGAAAGTCCTGGCAACAGCAGAAGCATTTTTTCTCACAGATTTCCTTCGCTTTCTCGAGTTCACATTCTCGATCTCTCCAGTTGGTCTGAAATTAGAAAGCTCGTCTATGAGTCTTGACAGACACACCTCCTCTGCAGCTTCTGTGCTACTGCATGCATCAACATTTTTGAAAAGACATTTTTATTCTCTTATTTATTTATCGCTTTTTAATATCCTCGCTATCTTAAAAATGCATCTTACAGTAGACGTCTCCTAGCAAGGTAAAAATAAGGGGGGGGGGGGGCAAAGATGACTCTGAAGCTCTTCCTTATACTTTCCCTGATTTTCTTATGTGTCTTAAGCTCATATTAATGAATATTCTAAGGAAAAAAAGTGACCCCTGCAGTCTCTAAAACAGGGGCGGTTCTTTATGTCGACTAGATAGTGGTCAAGAGATTGATTGCCGATAACTTTTTTCAGCCTCAAGTAAATTCAGAGTCATATAGTTCATCGACGTTTGAAAAGCACTTTGCCGCTTTGAAGGACCTCAAAGAAACAATAGAGGTTCACTGTTGTGTTTTCGCATTTCAGAGAATCGTTCCTTCATCTTTGTTTATGACGTCGGCTTGTATGTGATCTAGAATGTAGAACTTATCTACGCGAGGCCTTACCGAACCTCGCCCCCTCAGTGGTGACGCCAGCCTCCCCGGCCAATTCAACTTTTGCCCACAGAGCGCAAAGACGGCTCCTTAATTGCCATTGGCCACTTTGCTTCTTACAAGAAAAGGACAAGTCTCCAGTACAAATACATTGCTATTTTTTCATTATTTCATTAAGCAACGCTTATCATTCAACCTGTTTCTTACCGTTGCCACCAACATTTCTAAATCCATAATTTTGACCGGATTCGGGACTTTCAGGTGTAGCCTCCCCCATTAGTGCATTTGAAATATTTCTTTCCGGTCTTTCCAAATTCCGCACATTCTATTAGGATGTGCCTAATTGTAAAGTCGACATCGCTGCCGACTCAAAGTTATGGGTTGTCCTCTCCCTGCAGGAGATATTTATATGTTGGGGAGATATGTCAAATGTTTATTTTGGTAAAATAACTTCCACTCCTATCGAGAGACAGGAAGATTTCGGTGGACTCAACTTGGGCTTTATATTACAGATTTTTACGGCCTACCGTTCACCCTCATAACAGTACCAGTACTCCGACCATCCATTCATCCACATAATATATACAGCAGCAGGTCATTGTGAGTCTCCAATGAACCCATGCAACATTGTCAGCTCTGACCCAACACCACGCAGGGCCACTGGCAGTCAGTAACGTCACGGTGGGTCAGAGCACAGCAAATCGTCACCCGCCTCGACAAGGAAGGACCATTTCAGCTTCGACCCTGTATCAGGGCAACCCAGGCATGGAAGCACTTTATTAGAACTTAGGCTCATTAGGATGCAGCAGCTCAGCACAGGACGAACACACTCGACAGAGTAGACTTCCCAATGTGGGAATCGAACTCACATCTTCATTCAAAAGCGAAGAGGCTAACCTCTACACCACAGACTCGAGTTTGAGAAAAAGGTTGTCGTTGAATTTTTGCGCTTGCATCAACCAACACCACTCAGGTCATTCAGGCGGCGGGCGGTTTCGAGACCACCTGTTCCAGCAGAAAGACAGAAATGTTCGACAAAAATTCACCCACACAAAATAATTTGGACTCACGTCTCCTGTGCGGAGTATCGAGACCATAAGTAGTTGATCACATGAAAGAGTGACGACTGAGAAATTGAAAAAAAGAAGGGGGGGGGGGGACACGAGAAAGCGCCATCCTCAGACGATCCTATGAAAGAGGGAAATGTTACCTGATATAAATAGCAACGAAAAACATGATGGGGGTGGATTGAGTGCTTGAGAGAGGAGAAACGGAGGGTGAACGGGTGTGGGAAGAGGGAAATGTTTCTTTCGTATCAGATTATTTGAGTTTAAGTTTAAGACTGCGAGATGAACTTTCGAATCACGCACGAGAGTGAGTGATGCGTGAGTGCGCCTGTCTGTCTGTGAGTATACGTGTCTGTGCGTGTTTGTGTATGTGTGTATGTGCGTGTGTATGTGTGTGTATATGTGTGTGTATGTGTGTGTGTATGTATGTGTATGTGTGTGTGTGTGTGTGTGTGTGTGTGTGTGTGTGTTTGCGCCCGTGCGAACCCATGTGTGTACATTGTATAGGAGGACCTCTTCACGTTCAAAGGTATGAGCGCATGCCACACGGCTTCTCTCCGGTAGACCTTACGCCCAAACGGCTTCGCTCCACCGGGATAATAATAAAATATACAGTGTAGTGTGGCCACTCCAACTCTGTGAACTTCATACAGCTTCACTCTCAGACAAATACTCCACAAACTCTTTCAGTTGTGTCTTGTCCCCGATGATTCTATAATAATGTTTTGTTGTTTGCTAAACGCACAGGTATCACGAGCAAGAAAAAAAGAGTACTACTAAGCTGGTCGGTTTAGAAATAGAGAGAGATGGGGATGAGATTGAAAAAGACAGACAGACGGACGGACGAATAGACAGACAGACGGACAGACAGATAGACGGACAGACAGACAGACAGACAGACGGACAGACAGACAGACAGACAGACAGATGAACAGACAGACAGACAGGAGATAGAACGAGCGAGCAAGGGAGCGAGAGAGGGAGAGAGAGATACAGAAAGAGAGAGAGAGAGAGAGAGAGAGAGACGAAGTGGGATGATCGGAAAATACGGCATGACCTGTCTTCATCTGAATGAAAGACCTCAAATCGTTTTATCCACAATGTCCCACAAAGTTGTCATAGATGGATCGACATGGTTTGCTATGTCCACGTTCAACGTGGGAAAACCATACACCATCTTACAGCTTATCTCAGAGAGAAAAAATAAATCCCATGGGAGTCCTTTTACTCGGATGAAATTATACTGTAAGTGCTTTGGTGGAAAGTCACAATAGGCTTCTTGCAATAAACACACATGATTCATGTGTATGTGTGTGTGTGTGTGCGCGCATGTGTGTGTGAGTGTGTGTGTGTGTGTGTGTGTGTGTGTGTGTGTGTGTGTGTGTGTGTGTGTAAGAGAGAGAGAGAGAGAGAGAGAGAGAGAGAGAGAGAGAGATTAGGGAAATGGAAAGAGAGAGAGGGGAGGTAGGGGGGTCTTGGTGAAGGTATTTTAAGCCGCCAGCAATACAAGTTAGGTCATTTGGGAGGCGGGCTTCGATCTTAACAGTTAGGACCAACCCGTGATGAGAGGGATACAATATTTTAGCAGAAAGACTAAGACAATCAATTAAAATAATATTCTCACTGGAATGGAATTCGGGTTTGTCTTCCTCGTTCAAAAGAGAAGCGCCCAACCACCACACCATAGACACCGGTATAGACGGAGTAAATAAGATGTGCATTCATTGACAATCGAAATGCAGAAAAGCAATCCATCAGAAGTTGAGCTGAGTTGAGTTGTAGACAAATGCCAAAGAGCCTGACAATGGCCTCATTTTACAAGGAAGCAGAATCAGACAAAATAATTAATATCAATCACACAAGTGACATAAAATGTTCCCAGAAGATAAAAGAGATGAGGGGTCACAAAGTCCACAACACCGAATTTCTTGCCAAGCGTTCAGTCATAGCGGTGTCAAAACCAGAAAACAAACACCAACAATCGGGCCTG